CTCGTAGTTCTGGGACGAGTCTCGTTGCAAACCTCTGAACCTTTTCCAGTTTCATTATATGCTTCTTCAGATGGGGACTCCATGATGAGGCGGCATACTCTCAGACTGGCCTCACGTAGGCAGTGTAAAGCGCCCTAAATGCCTCCTTACTTAGGTTTCTGAATGATGTTCTAACTTTTGCCAGTGTAGAGTACGCTGCTGTCGTTATCCTATTTATATGTGCCTCAGGAGATAGATTAGGTGTTACGTCCACACCCAGGATTCTTTCGCGCGTCGTCACAGATAGGCTGTTCCCCTAGTCTGTGTGTGTGTGTGTGTGTGTGTGTGTGTGTGTGTGTGTGTGTGTGTACTCACCTAGTTGTGTTTGCGGGGGTTGAGCTCTGGCTCTTTGGTCCCGCCTCTCAACCGTCAATCAACAGGTGTACAGATTCCTGAGCCTATTGGGCTCTATCATATCTTCACCTGAAACTGTGTATGGAGTCAGCCTCCACCACATCACTTCATAATGCATTCCATTTGTCATCCACTCTGACACTAAAAAAGTTCTTTCTAATATCTCTGTGGCTCATTTGGGCACTCAGTTTCCACCTGTGTCCCCTTGTGCGTGTTCCCCTTGTGTTAAATAGACTGTCTTTATCTACCCTATCAATTCCCTTCAGAATCTTGAATGTGGTGATCATGTTCCCCCTAACTCTTCTGTCTTCCAGTGAAGTGAGGTTTAATTCCCGTAGTCTCTCCTCGTAGCTCATACCTCTCAGCTCGGGTACTAGTCTGGTGGCAAACCTTTGAACCTTTTCCAGTTTAGTCTTATCCTTGACTAGATATGGACTCCATGCTGGGGCTGCATAATCCAGGATTGGCCTGACATATGTGGTATACAAAGTTCTGAATGATTCTTTACACAAGTTTCTGAATGCCGTTCGTATGTTGGCCAGCCTGGCATATGCCGCTGATGTTATCCGCTTGATATGTGCTGCAGGAGACAGGTCTGGCGTGATATCAACCCCCAAGTCTTTTTCCTTCTCTGACTCCTGAAGAATTTCCTCTCCCAGATGATACCTTGTATCTGGCCTCCTGCTCCCTTCACCTATCTTCATTACATTACATTTGGTTGGGTTAAACTCTAACAACCATTTGTTCGACCATTCCTTCAGCTTGTCTAGGTCTTCTTGAAGCCTCAAACATTCCTCTTCTGTTTTAATCCTTCTCATAATTTTAGCATTGTCCGCAAACATTGAGAGAAATGAATCGATACCCTCCGGGAGATCATTTACATATATCAGAAACAGGATAGGGCCGAGTACAGAGCCCTGTGGGACTCCACTGGTGACTTCACGCCAATCGGAGGTCTCACCCCTCACCGTAACTCTCTGCTTCCTATTGCTTAGATACTTCCTTATTCACTGGAGCACCTTACCAGCTACACCTGCCTCTCTCTCCAGCTTATGTACCAGCCTCTTATGCGGTACTGTGTCAAAGGCTTTCCGACAACCCAAGAAAATACAGTCCGCCCAGCCCTCTCTTTCTTGCTTAATCTTTGTCACCTGATCGTAGAATTCTATCAAGCCTGTAAGGCAAGATTTATCTTCCCTGAACCCATGTTGATGGGTTGTCACGAAGTCTCTTCTCTCCAGATGTGTTACTAGATTTTTTCTCACGATCTTCTCCATCACCTTGCATGGTATACAAGTCAAGGACACTGGCCTGTAGTTCAGTGCCTCTTGCTTGTCTCCCCTTTTGTATATTGGGACCACATTCGCCGTCTTCCATATTTCTGGTAGGTCTCCCGTCTCCAGTGACTTACTATACACTATGGAGAGTGGCAAGCAAAGGGCCTCTGCACACTCTTTCAGTGTCCATGGTGAGATCCCATCTGGACCAACAGCCTTTCTAACATCCAGATCCAGCAGGTGTCTCTTGACCTCCTCTCTCGTAATTTCGAACTCTTCCAAGGCCGCCTGGTTTACCTCTCTTTCTCCTAGCACAGTGACCTCACCTTGTTCTATTGTGAAGACCTCCTGGAACCTCTTGTTGAGTTCTTCACACACCTCTCTGTCATTCTCTGTATACCTGTCCTCGCCTGTTCGAAGTTGCAATACCTGTTCTTTCACTGTTCTTTTCCTTCTGATGTGACTGTGGAGTAGCTTTGGTTCGGTCTTGGCTTTGTTTGCTATATCATTTTCAAAACTTTTCTCTGCTTCTCTTCTCAATCTGACGTACTCATTCCTGGTTCTCTGGTATCTCTCTGGTGTGTGTGTGTGTGTGTGTGTGTGTGTGTGTGTGTGTGTGTGTGTGTGTGTGTGTGTGTGTGTGTGTGTGAGTGTGTGAGTGTATGTGTGTGTGTGTGTGTGTGTGTGTGTGTGTGTGTGTGTGTACTCACCTAGTTGGTGAGTACACACACACACACACACACACACACACACACACACACACATACACTCACACACTCTCACACGTGTGTGTGTGTGTGTGTGTATACTCACCTAATTGTGTGTGTGTGTGTATACTCACCTAATTGTGTGTGTGTGTGTGTGTGTGTGTGTGTGTACTCACCTAATTGTACTCACCTAATTGTGCTTGCGGGGTGTAGCTTTGGCTCTTTGGTCCCGCCTCTCAACCGTCAATCAACTGGTGTACAGATTCTTGAGTCTACTGGGCTCTATCATATCTACATTTGAAACTGTGTATGGAGTCAGCCTCCACCACATCACTTCCTAGGGCATTCCATTTACTAACTACTCTGACACTGAAAAAGTTCTTTCTAATGTCTCTGTGGCTCATTTGGGTACTCAGCTTCCACCTGTGTCCCCTTGTTCGCGTCCCTCCAGTGTTGAATAGTTCATCCTTGTTTACCCGGTCGATTCCCCTGAGGATTTTGTAGGTTGTGATCATGTCCCCCTTACTCTTCTGTCTTCCAGTGTCGTAAGGTGCATTTCCCGCAGCCTTTCCTCATAACTCATGCCTCTTAGTTCTGGGTCTAGTCTAGTAGCATACCTTTGGACTTTTTCCAGCTTCGTCTTGTGCTTGACAAGGTACGGGCTCCATGCTGGGGCCGCATACTCCAGGATTGGTCTTACATATGTGGTATACAAGATTCTGAATGATTCCTTACACAGGTTCCTGAACGCCGTTCTGATGTTAGCCAGCCTCGTATATGCCGCAGACGTCATTCTCTTTATGTGGGCTTCAGGAGACAGGTTTGGTGTGATATCAACTCCTAGATCTTTCTCTCTGTCTGTTTCATTAAGTACTTCATCTCCTATTCTGTGTGCGTGTGTGTGTGTGTGTGTGTGTGTGTGTGTGTGTGTGTGTGTGTGTGTGTGTGTGTGTGTGTGTGTAAATATTTATAACATTAACAATTGGGTAACTAGGGTCAAAAGATTGTTACTTGCTTAGCTAAACGAACTAGGGTGCTCAGTTCCTGAACCGATTATGTGTCCCTGTATCCCTTTCCTCCACCGCCCACGTAATGGGTGTGGGATGCATAATGAAGAAAGAAATTGGAATTGAATAGTCTCCAGTCGCTTTTATAAGATGCTCTTCCTGTGCTTGCTTCTATTTAATCATAATTCACTGATGTTTACTTAATTTACTTCCTTCTCCTGACTTCCACCTCTAGTCAGTTGGGTAGAATAATTCTCACATGGAAGAGCCACCTCACTAGGCTGCCTGGGGTTCATAATAATTCCTCACTCTGCTCGGCTGCCTATGATCCAACAATCCTAAGGCGCATCATAGAAAAGCAAATGAGCTGCATTGCAGAAGCAGAAGCCACGCACATCTTCACAGACGGATCGGTTGACACAGAATATGAGAGTGCTGGCGCTGCTCTTTGCACGGCCAGCGAACCGGCATATTGGAGACTAGGAGGACTAGTATCATCAACCTAAACTAAGCCGTTTGCCATACAACAGGCATTCGCATATGTGATTGCAAAACACTCAAAATGCAATCATACACACAGACTCAAACGCTGCACTTCAAATATTAGGAAAAAAACAGTGGAAAGATAACGTGGAAATAATTACCACCATTTTGTATCTTGGAGCAGTAGCTAAAGACAAAAGACTCAACATAACCCTAAACTGGATCCCATCCCGTGTTGGAATCCCATTAAATGAGAAAACCGATGAAATTGCTAAATTGGCAACTCGTCATACATAAAACAATCCAACCCAGCCTAGAGAACATAAAAAACATCATCACCAAAAAACTCTCACACCTCAACAAAGCCCATCTACACCATAGAGTAGTAGAGAGTTCTCCATTTTCATTATGTTATCTTCAGGCCACCAAGTTAGGAAGGTTAAATATCCCAAAAGAAATCCACAGTGAAATAGCAATTCGGTTATATAAACTACATCTAGGTTACAGATGCAACTGGGAGATTGGTGAACCCCGACAGAGGGAATGTGTCTTCTGCCAAACAGTCAGAGAAAGGTCACTACTTCACTATCTCCTGGAATGTGAGGCAACCAACAACCTTAGAAGAACTTTAAGAGTCCCTGAATCTTGCAGTAACCACCTTGAAGCCATCAACACTGCCACTCTTCTAGTCTAAAAAGATGTCCAACAGCTGGACACCTTCATAAAAACAGTCAAGCAGTATCTATCCCTGCGATAACAGTCTCATATTAAGGACTGACGATTTAAATGCGAGTTCAGCACATAGTATACGATCAAAGATCAGATTCACTCCAAAAAATCTACCAATTATGGGCTATTCATGCTCGATGTGCCACCTCGTGCCATTATGTAGTTAGTTTTTGTTCTTTCGTCAACCTAGAACAGATATGACACTTGGAAAAATCCTCTTCCAATTAAACCAAGATGCAAAAGCTGATTTAAATAGTATCTTCCTTCTATGGACGGATAGACCTTCTGCAGTGTCGTTTATTTTTATTAAATGCACGATTAATCAATTATAATATTTAAAAAAAGTTAAAATATTTATGAAAATGTGAGTAATATTGCAACTTTTTTTATTCTTTTTTTTCCAGATGAGAATTACATGCGGAGTCAATTGAAGCATCAGTCAAAAAAGAGATCAGAAATATAATGGCGGAATCTGCGGACGAGATGCTCTATGAGGCTAGTGATAACCGGCCATCCTATACTTGCTGGAAACCGTCTCCCCTTTACTCCCTCGCACGTCACGGGATGAATTCATATTCTTCTTTCGATCACGTAGTGAGAACTCTGCACTTTGAGGATTATAAAGATATATGGATGGACCAACAAATGATTCCAAATGCCTTAACAGAAAGAACACACACACATCTGACGAAAAATCTACCTGGCTTGCCATATCTTCCAGGCTTGGAGGGCCTCTGGTATGGTATTGACGTCCCGGATAATGGGGATAATAACTGGTATGGAAATGTGAGTTTTAAGATAAATTTCAAGAGTTTCCTTCAGATGCTACAGGATTACAAGATCTATTTCGTCGAAGTTCTTGAATATAGATCTAACAGTGCCTTGAGACTCCTGATAACAACTCAAGACCTTCCCCTGGAGCGCTATGACCCGCACAGGTTCGGAGGACCCTGGTACAGAGATCCCAACAGTGGAGAAGATTATTTCCTTACCGACGCGCGCAGGTTAGACGGCAGATATAATTATTCTGTCAATGTGGAACTGTTGTTTGTTATATCTGACGACCAGTGTGCTTCTCTGTTCAGGATGTCGGACGTTGTACCAGTAAACCACTCTGAGGCCAACAGCACTTCGTATCATTCATGCAGAAAATACAGGTCAGGAAGTTTTTGGCAATATTGTCCCTCTCCATGGACGGTGGATAAAACTTCTGAAAAACTCTTACGAATCAAACAGAGATATGTAAGCCAAGAATGATATAAAACTTTGGCTTTAATCAACCTATATAACCCAAACCACCTGTAAACAAAATCAGAGCAAGCTTTATTTTCGCCCCCGTTAACACTGCATGGTGTCTGTAGCTTAATTCCAATGCCTATGGACTCGAGCTGCAAGCCCATAGTATTTTCTACTGCTGTACAACTGAAATATAACCACATGACCAAGAAGTACCGTATAGTAGACTTTTGTCTACTATGCAGAAGAAGTAGCATAATAATACCCCTGAAAGCTGACAGAACAGCAACAATAGTGGCTTATAGGAAGCTTCAAGCCGTCCCCGCTCTTCAACAAGCCACATTGATATATTATCACCTATTCATCCAGTTTCTGCGTGCGGCTATACCCACCTCACATGACTCCACGGCGGGGCAGGATGCCCACTGGGTATACAAACTGGTCATAGTCCTAAAATTTACCTGAGAGTAAATTTTAGACGAGGACAGGAAGCCGGAGGCTTGTTAAAGTATCCCCAATTTGCCCTGAATTGACCTTGACAAAATGTCAAGCCAATTTAAATTACAAACTATAACTTGAAGCTTATTCTATGAAATCACAAAACCAAGAATTGGCACGCAAAATAGAACACCTTCAAATTAGAGTTAACACATTCAAAGAAGATTTTTCGTTTAAATCCAGTGAAGCCAGCATCAAACGTGCCCACGAAAATCGAAAATCAACTAAATTTCATCTATATCCATCAAAGTAAAGGTCAAGATGAACTTAATTCGCAAAAGTTACGAGACTGAATGATGGAGTTTACGTCTGCATTCCCTCAAGATACTGGAGATGACTACTCTATCATAAAAATACCGAAAACTGGGAAACACGCATGGTATAACAATAGAGAGAAATAGATATAACAATGACCAGACTGAGGCTGGGACACACCACACTAGCAGGATACAGCTTTAAACATAGTTTGGCAGTTATAAATAAACTTTGCAACCACAGCCATGTTGCAAAATTTACTTCCTTCACTATGTAATCGCATGTAAAAAAAAATCCTGGAATTCAGAGATAACTCTATAAATGGGGCTCAAGAAATTAAAAACTTCATTTTAAATGTTGCACTACCAGAAATCTTAGTAAAGTATCCAAAGTTTACTTTCTGTAGGTATTTGTATGCTGTAAACTTGCCGCCCAGTTCGATGGGTGTTGAACAGGATTAGTAACTGAGTGACTAACTGGCTCACGGCAGATGTTTAAACTGCCTAGTATATAAACTTGTGGGCCACTTACTGAACCACTTTACATATACAAATACTTTTGATATATAATAATTAATACGCATGTGTATATGTGTGTATTAAAAATTGTAAAACTAGCTTTACAAGGTTCCCAGTGGGCACTGTTGCTTGTAAGCGAGCGACGCTAAATACTGTTTACTATGTAACGTCGGTCGCTTTTGACCAACGGTGACCACTGAGGGGTTACTTGCTCCGCTAAATGAACTGTGGTGTTCAGTTCCTGAACCCTTAATGTCCCTCTAACCCATTTTCTCCACAACCCACGGGATGGGTATTGGGTGCATAATACATGACAACACTAATAACTAACACTGTCCCAGACATCATGTATCATGTGCCAGAATTAATTTCAAACATGTACTTATATCCGCCCTCAAAATGCCTCAAAGTACATCTAATAGGGGCGAGGAGATCTCTCACTACATATAAAATATCAAGCAGCCAGAGCATTGCTAAATATCTCCAGTCAACCAAAAAATTAGGCCACATCGGGTTCGTTATCAACTCACAATCGGGAATCCCAGGCAAGACAAATGGTTGGACACGTTTCCTATCTCCAATACTAGCTGTCCACCTAGCAGTAAATAGGTATCTAGGAGTTAGTCAGCTTGTTGGGGGGTTGCATCCTGGGAAGGGTCACTGATTCTACCTTGTCGGGACCCCGATATAGTATGTATATATATATACACTGGCTGCCTGTCCCCTGACACGGTGACATTATTAATAACTAGTTTTTGTTATTTCTTGAACATTCTCATATATGTTTGCTTATTTCTCTTTTAGTTGTAAGTATTTACCCATTATACCTATAAATAACTTTTTGTCTAAATTATTCTAAGTTTTACCCGAAACGTTTTTCGTCGTAGTGGCTTAAATTTGATATGTAACCCCTGTACCTACAGTTGTCCCTCATAATGTACTCTTGCCTAAATAAACATTATCATTATCATTATCATTATTATACACTGTCCAGGGCGAGGCTCTCTACACAGTGGCCGGGCCTCTCAGGGACGAACTCCTGAACACACCAGAGAAGAGACGACGTTTCGGTCCGAAATTTCCTTTATTTACAAATCATTCTCTCGCCTTGGTTACTCCTTACATTTTATCAACTTTGCTTATTCTCAAGCTAAACGAAATTTCTTTCATCCAAAACCTGCTTCCAATACTACTAGCACCTTGCTCTGGCTTTCATTCATATCTTAGCTCAAAACCCTTACTAATACCCTTCATCCTCTTGACATAAAGCTCGCCTTTCGTCAAACTAACACTCTTCGTACTAATCTTGTTCACACTTTAAAAAGCACAAAAGAAGTGTTAAGTCTGCAGACACGAACAATACTCTCTTCTGTCATGTTAGGGCATGACCAGTCAATCATCTTATTGACTGGTCTTCTTCTAAAATAATCTTTCTTGCCTCTACTCTTCACAGACGCAGTCTTGTCGAATCAGCTCTGATACACAATCTACCCAACATGAACCTTAGTCCTGGCTTTGTTCCTGTTGACTCTTTCCTTTCACAGTACTTTCTCAAATGTTCTAAACTTTCTAACAAACATGACCTAACATAAGCCTACCATTCCTTTTTTCTTTTTTTCTTTCAGAAAGAACGAAACTTTCTGTGTCATTCATATTTACTCCTTTTATTACCCCTACATATCCTTTATAACACCTATCTTTTTGCCTTGCTTTCACCTTCCTTTAAAATTTCCTCGTCCTCACCTGTCTCTTGCCTTACTTATGCTCTAAACCAGCACAGGCTCCAAACCTCTTCACCGGCCTCAAACCAGCACAGAAGTACGTAGTGCTCCCACACAACTGGACACCCTCTGGCCAATGCTTAAGGCCTTGGACACGGAATTGGTCGAACGTTTGCTGTCGAAACGCGGTATACAGCAAACCACAGAGACTCGAAAGACAATTGAGGACAAGCTCAAGAAATTCGAAAAAAAAGAATATCCTCACCCTCATGAACGTAGGGCAGGAAACACTCTTTCTAAAAAACAGGTCTAGTACTTTTGAAAGCGATCTAGATGAGTCAGTGTCAAGTACACCAAGATCCTTAACTCCAATTTCAACTTCCATGGCGATTTCATCTGACTCCATAGATGCCTTGGTAATATCAGCAAGTTCCAATAACCTAGAGGATTAATGATCCTACAATGGAATGTGCAAGGGTTGCGCACAGAATAGCAACACTTGCAATGCATAGCAGAAACATAAGAACATAAGAACAAAGGTAACTGCAGAAGGCCTATTGGCCCATACGAGGCAGCTCCTATTCTATAACCACCCAATCCCACTCATATACTTGTCCAACCCGCGCTTGAAACAATCGAGGGACCCCACCTCCACCACGTTACGCGGCAATTGGTTCCACAAATCTACAACCCTGTTACTGAACCAGTATTTACCCAAGTCTTTCCTAAATCTAAACTTATCCAATTTATACCCATTGTTTCGTGTTCTGTCCTGTGTTGATACTTTTAATACCCTATTAATATCCCCCTTGTTATGTCCATTCACCCACTTGTAAACCTCTATCATGTCGCCCCTAACTCTTCGCCTTTCCAGTGAATGCAACTTAAGCTTTGTTAATCTTTCTTCATATGAAAGATTTCTAATTTGGGGAATTAACTTAGTCATCCTACGCTGGACACGTTCAAGTGAATTTATATCCATTCTATAATATGGCGACCAAAACTGAACTGCATAATCTAAATGGGGCCTAACTAGAGCAAGATATAGCTTGAGAACCACACCAGGTGTCTTGTTACTAACGCTGCGATTAATAAATCCAAGTGTCCGATTTGCCTTATTACGAACATTTATGCATTGATCCTTTTGTTTTAAATTCTTACTAATCATAACTCCCAGATCCCTTTCGCAATCCGACTTCGCAATCACAACACCATCTAGCTCGTATCTTGTAACTCTATCATCATTACCTAACCTCAGAACTTTACATTTATCAGCATTAAACTGCATCTGCCAATCCTTTGACCATTTCAAAACCCTATCTAGATCAACTTGAAGTGATAGTGAGTCCTCCTCCGAATTAATTTCCCTACCGATTTTCGTATCATCAGCAAATTTGCAAATGTTGCTACTCAAACCTGAATCTAAATCATTTATATATATTATAAACAACAGAGGTCCCAGGACAGAGCCTTGAGGCACTCCACTTACAACATTTTCCCACTCTGACTTGATTCCATTTATACTAACTCTCTGTTTCCTTTGGTGTAGCCATGCCCTAATCCAGCTTAATATAGCACCCCCAATACCATGAGACTCTATCTTTTTAATCAGTCTTTCATGTGGCACTGTATCAAAAGCTTTGCTAAAGTCAAGGTATACAACATCGCAATCCTTACCACTATCAACTGCCTCAACAATGCTAGAATAAAAAGATAACAAATTTGTTAAACATGAACGGCCATTTATAAAACCATGTTGCGACTCAATTATTAATTTATGTTTTTCAAGATGAAGACGAATTTTATTTGCTATTATGGATTCGAGTAACTTTCCCACAATAGACGTTAGGCTAATTGGTCGATAGTTAGACGCAAGTGATCTATCTCCTTTCTTAAAAACTGGTATCACATTAGCAACTTTCCAAAACTCTGGCACTCTGCCTGACTCTATTGATTTATTAAATATGGTTGACAGTGGGTCACAAAGCTCCTCTTTGCATTCTTTAAGCACCCTGGCAAACACTTCATCCGGCCCTGGGGATTTGTTTGGTTTGAGTTTTACTATTTGTTTAAGAACATCCTCCCTGGTAACTGCTAAACTCGTCAACCTGTCCTCGTCCCCACCCACATAGACTTGTTCGGCTGAAGGCATATTGTTAAGTTCCTCTTTAGTAAATACAGATACAAAATATTTATTAAAAATACTACTCATCTCTTCATCACTATCTGTTATTTGACCTGTCTCAGTTTTTAATGGACCTATCCTTTCCCTAGTCTTAGTACGATATAACTGAAAAAACCCTTTAGGATTTGTCTTTGCTTGCCCTGCTATGCGAACTTCATAGTTTCTTTTTGCTTTCCTTATCTCTTTTTTAACATTTCTAACCAGTTGTACGAATTCCTGTTCTAAAGTGACCTCCCCATTTTTAATCCTTACTAAAACTACTTACTAAAACTTACTTACTAAAACCAAAGGCATAGACATCCTGATACTGCAGGAGAGCTTGCTTTGAGTCGGATTAGAACCTAAAATTTCAGGCTATCGAGGCTTCTTCCTTCCATAGGTTAACGGGCAATCCAGGGGATGTGCCATCTATGTGAGATGTGACCTGATCTCCAACCCCTTAACCAGCCCACCTGATTGTGGGCCGGGGACAGAGGTAATGGGAGTATCCATTGAGCTAAGACATGTAATCTTGAAGTGTTTAATGTTTACAGGTCTCCACATGCTGAAATGCATCTCTCAGTGTTATTTGGACACTTGACCACCTCAAACACAATAATAAGTGGTGATTTCAATGCCCAACATCGTTTGGGACTGGGCTCGAACACAACAAATGAGGCCGGCACTCACATAGCACATCTACTAGACCAACTACCAGAAATCCAAATCCTAAGCAAGAATGAACCCACCCACATCCAAGGAGGTAGATTAGACCTTACCTTCGTTTCAGCCTCCCTGATGATGCAGTAACATGATCAGTTGGGCTCACACTCCCAAGCGACCACTATGGGGTCCAAATTGATCTAAAGTTGGATGTAACCACTCCCCACCTCCATCTCCACCTCCACCAGAAGCCTGGAACTTCGCTTTAGCAAAATTGGACCACTTTCAATACCTCATCTCAGAGTGGCATATAAACTATGTTGTTCCTGAAGACAGAACAAGAACAAGATTTTGTCAAGGCGATTCAAAGTGCAGCCAACCACTCAATTCCACTAAAAAAAAGAGTGCACCAAACACCACAACGATCACTGGTACTATTGCAAACGTGTCAAACAACTCAGTCATAGACTCAACGGTACAAGGAAGCTATACAAAAAGCAGCCAAGTGACCACAACCGGACCTTACTTTGTGAGGTCAAGGAACATGCGCATCAAGAGACTGGGATAATCAAAGAACAAAAGTGGCTGGAATGGTGTTCACATCTGAATGAACACACCTCTCTTGGAGAGATGTGGCAGCAAATCCACCGGGCCAAAGGAAATATAACACCTAAAGCCCTACACCCTAAAGGATCCGCTTCAGGAAGCCGAGGTACTTGCAACCAAATTTGTAGAGAACGCAGCCAGTAATCAGTTTCCACCAGATGTACTAGCAGTGCAGACAGGATTAGAGGAAGACAGGTGACACAGAATCCTTACAGCATGTACAGAAGTCTTTGAAACTAATACCCCTTTCACACAGGATGAGCTCAATCGGGCTAAGAAAAACTCCAACGATACATCCCCCGAAGACGACAAAATAACCTATAAACTGATTACAAACGTCTGCCCAGAGGGAGACGCTGCATACCTTAGGTTAATTAATTTAGCCTGGACTTCTCAAACTAGACCTACAGCATGGAATAGAGCAGACATAGTGTTGATCCCAAAACCCAAAGATCCAGCTAATCCAAGGACCATCTCTCTCCAAAACCTGGAGAGAATAATCCTGGACACATAAATTTTAATGCTGAGGTCACTTAATTGAGAGAAAGAACTGCGGCCTGGACGGCAATCCTCAGGTCACTTACCTCCCTCTGTGGAGGAGCCAATCTGAAAGTCCTTCGCACCTACTATGTACAGGCAGTCAGATCAGGGATCGACTATGCCGCACCTGCAGCCTATCACATCAACAGTGGAAAAAGCTTGAAGTTGTTCAAAACAATGCCATGAGAGCTGCCCTGGGAGCCCCTATGTGGGCCAGGCTTGAAACTCTAAGACTGGAAACGGATTTGGTCTCTCTTCAAGAAAGAATATTTGAAAAAA